ACTATAATATGAATCAAAAATCTCATTTTTTGTTGAAAGGTCCCCAAAACCCATTTTTAATAGCAAAGCTCCCATATCATTAAATAAATATAATACTTTTTTATAAATAATCATTATAATTAAATATATTTGAATTATTTTACTATAATAAAATAAACAGTATATAAAAATGTTAATAAAGTCTATTTATAATTCTAACTTTAAAGAAGCAAAACAACAATTTCAATATAAAATTTATTGTAATTAGAATAAAATTATTATAATAATTAAATTAATATTATAACCTTGCATATAATAAAATCTATTCTACTCTAAAGCATAATGAATATGTAATCAAACAAATCAAAAACACAATTTAAGATAATAGTCACGTTCATCATGAAAGTAAATCTATATAATTATTATAAAATGGATGGTTTGCTATAAAATCAAGTTACGAACATAGTAAATAATATGATCCGTAACATGATTTTAATTTAATAGAAAACCACCAGAATGTTTAACTTTGGATGTAATCGAGAAATCAGGACGTATATGGCAGATAACATGGAATCTTCATGAAGGTAGGATTTCAAGACACACTTCGGTACATTGGTTGTCTAACACGATGCTTCTTTTGTTTTTAACCAAATCGTCTTTCTGATAAAATTAATGATCGAGTTGTTTGTTATAAATTATTTGAAAAAAAATAATAGCCATATAAATCTTTAATTTACATAACAATAAAGTAAAATTAGCAATTAGCATACCATATGCCCTTGTATCCATATCGGTTATTATAGATCTTTCAGCCCTAATACGTTCTAATTCAAGCTGATTTTTCTCTGACGATCCACGAAGAAACTGATTTATATGTCCAGCCTGTTCTTTAGAATTACCTTTCAAAATTATAGTATTCACAGTACAGGAATCATTATTTATTTGTCCTCTTTCATTATCGGTTAGCTTTCAATAAATTCATTTCAACAAATCTCGACAATATTTTGCATATTTTTTTCGTTGATAAACACTTATTTTGAATTCGACAAGTGTTAATTTTTAAGAAATTTACACTTTACATAGTAGTATATAGACTAGAAAATATTTTTTTCACATCAGATCTTTTTAAAATATTTTTTGTATTAATATCTTGCAAGAGGTAACCTATTATAAAAATTAAATAAAAAATTAGAAGAAATCTTAAAATGGGACATCTAAGGAAATGCAAAATACTTTTAAAAATTCCTTATTAATAACAAGATAATGATAATTATACTGCTAACCGATATTATTTTCTCATGACAAAAAAATGAATAAAAAAATAGAAAGAATTTTTTTTGACGCGCTCCACAAAAGTATAAATAAATTTGTAACAAACTTTTATATGTCACGAAAAATCAAATTTAATTTGGCCAATCATGTAAAGGATGGGAGATTAATCCTGATCTAGATTTTTGATTTTAATTTATTATTCATAAAATGTCTTCAGTCCTCGTTGAAAAAATTACGCATCCATCTGCATTATGTCAAAAATTATCTCGTCAACTTCCAAACTTGATAAATACTCCCCAGATTTACGATTAATCAAGGAAGTAATTCAGACTCGCAGATGTTCCAACCTGAAAACATTGGCATACTCGTTTAGGTTGGAAGATTTAAAGTTACTAAACGTGAGCTTTCAACCTGCTACCGAAGTCGAGGTCCTCCCTAATGTTATTGGTACGAATTACATTTTATCAATTCTTTTAATGAACCTCATACTAATAGGGATTGGAATCGATTCAACCAAAATCGAATTAATCGAAAATCAAATCGTATCTAATAGAATCGATTAATCGAATCTAAAAATCGAATCTTAATAAATCAAATTTTTTTATATTTTGACATTGTAACAGTGTAAAATTTTGGCTAAAATCTGATTACAAATCCAATGTCAATTAAATGTTCTTGTTTACATTTTGACGATCCTAGATGTCAATTTTATTTCCTAAGATAATCAATGTGAAACATTGTAGATCTAGATGTCAACTTTATTTCCAGTGTAACGGGTAACTTTATTGACATGATAATCTTTGCTGATCAATTTTGTCAACTTTATTTCCTGGACGATGTCATTTATTTTTCATAAATTTATTTAGTTTAGTTCATTTTATAATTATCAAACATGTATAAATATCACTG